TGTTGCAGATAACTGTCTATAAGTGGTTGTAGACCCTTTATTGCCTCCTGTGGTATCGAGTATTTAGGGACTGAGGGCGGTGGACCAGGCTTTACCTTGATGCGAACAGGCTCTGCAGACTGCAGGAGACCTACCTCGGTAACTTCCCAGCCCCACAAGGAACGCAGTGACTCATTCAGATCCAACGGGAGTGGAGAATTCTCTGGGTTGGGCAACAATGCCATCTGAAGGTGCTCCATCCAATGCGCCGGCAAGGCGAGAATGATACCGTTTGGAAAGCATTTAATGGTAGCCTGCAGTTTACAGAGTAAATCTCTTCCCAGGAGGTGCACTGGAGTTACCTCAGCTAATAGGAAGGCATGATTAATAGTCAAGGGTCCTATCTGCACTTGTGTCTCAGCACTGCGGGGCACTCGCATAGATTTCCCAGTTACTCCCATAATTTTTTCAGTTCCTGAGACCGCAATTCCCGCCCTTTTCGGAGATTCTCCCAGTGAGGATAAATCTGCTCCCGTATCTATAAGACACTTCTAAATCTTTCCTGCTACTTGAAGTGGGACATAAGGGGATGAAGGGGCACAGGTATACTCAAAAGATGAAAATTCCCCCAGATACATCATGTGGAAGAGCCCCCCCTCATTTCATTGGGAGTCATCTATGTCCTGTTGCAAGCCATGGATCCAGGGATCTGTAGGATCGATGCTTGCAGCCCGGTTATTTCCCTGGGTTCCCCACTTTCTTCCTCCCCTAGGGCAGTTCGGGCACTCTCGTTTCCAATGCCCCATTTGTTTGCAATAATTACACATATCATCGGGGGCTGATTCCCTTGAGGTATTAGACCTCCCTTGGTACTCCCTATAACTTCCTCTGCCTCTTCCTCTTTTCTTCGACTAGAGCTGAGAGCAGCAGCCAAAAATTTAGCTTCCTGTTGCTTCATTTTTAATTTTTCAGCCTTTGAACTTCTGGTGTCCGATCGAAGGCGCGATTAGCTAAATCTACTAATTGTTGTATAGTTTTCGTGTTCCAGTCAGGGTTATATTTGACTCTGTATTTTTTAATATCTGATACATAACCCCCTACAAAAGTGGATGCTACAATGGTTTGATTTTGCAGAGCCTGTATGTCGAAACTTCCTCCATGGGTTGTAATGGCTTTCAGCAGCCTGCTGTAGAAATCTTGCGGATGCTCATTCGGACCTTGTACTACAGAAGTCACCTTGGTCCAGTCAGTGGTTTTGCGTCCTGCTCTGTTCATTCCTTCTAATAAGGTCTGTCTAGCTAATTGTAATTTTCCTCTTTCATGATTATCTCCATTTATTTCCCAATTTGGGTCAACCAACGGCCAAGGGACTCTATTTCCCAAGTCTTCCTGTTGCCATTGGTTTCCTTGATTTATTATATCCAATTTCTCGGCAGAGGTTAACAGTGTATCTAAGAGTTGATTCATGTCTACCCATGTGGGGTTGTGTGTGGAAATGATGGCCTGTATCTTCCGTCTAACGGCCTCCAGATCGTCTCGGAACTTTGGTGTCCCCAGTTGCCATGCCTGAAGATCTTGGGGAGTAAAGGGAATATGGATATACGGATACTGGATCCCGTCGGCGGTGGGCACAGGATACTGCCTGAGAGGCATCTGTAAACGCTGCCTAGTATGTCCTGCTATGGGACTGAAAGTAGGCTCCGGGGGTGCAGGTATAGACCCAGACACTCCTATTGGAGGAGGAGAGGAGCCTGATGGAGGGGTAGGAGGTGCCGGAGGGGCCATGGCTGAGGCGGCCAGGTTTATTAAGACTGGTCCCTCAGTCACAGGTGGTGGCATAGTGGGCTGCCAATCATCTGTTTCTGAAGCAGTGGAGTGAGGGTAAGGGGGAGGAGACAGGTTTGTTTGGCATTTCTGGGCGGCTAGAAAGGATTGATTCACTTGTGGGATCAAATCCTTCAGATCACGCCAGAGATACCAATAATCCATTTGTCGAGGGTGGGGTTCCTCCAGGAACCCCTTCAGGTACCTTAACTTATCAACACTGAGGGATCCCAACACTGGCCATTGGAGGTCAGGGTTCTCATAAGTATAGCCAGGCCAGACACTAGTGCATAAGGCTATAGCGCGCTTCTTACTCAATTGGCCATGTCCAGATAACTTTTTCCAGTTACTTAACAATTCTCCAAGAGGACTACTAGCGGGAATTGAGTGTTTCTGTCCCATCGTCACCCTTGGCGGACGTCCCTTTTCCCAGATAACCTGATACACTATAAATCTCCCCAAGGACCCTGCTTTCTTGGCTACCCTAGACCTAACCAATCTGGAAAGGCAGGTTCTAGGATGCCTCAAACAGGTTGGAGGACTTATCCAGTTAGAAGGTCAGAGACAGAGACGGTTCCTCAGTGCGCGAATGGAGACATAAAATGCGCGCCACAGATTTATTGGCTCAAAAGAGTCAAACGGGCAATTAACTAAAATTGCCTGTGCGCCCAGGTTTGAGGAACCGGAGAGAAGACTGGCCTATAACACATAAGACAAAACATACACAACATATAAAAGACCACACCATGCCGATAAAATTGAAGGAGTCACCTTATCGTCCCGCCGTGTGTGCAGCCTCAACCCAAGATTCCCATGGTGAACTCACCTCTGTTATGGCCGGCCGGGGGTTGGGTTCAGGCGGCAGCGGCAATGTGACGAACTGGATGCTCCTGCCTGGCTTTCCAAATTTGTCGGAGAAATTATTCGCTTAAGCTCCCAACCTGGAAAGGGAACACCTGCGAATACTCCTGACCCCAACGGGGCTCGTTTCCCAGCTGAGACTCAAATAAGCAGAAGACGAGGGTGTGGTCTTTCCAGTTTATTCGGCCGAAGGTCCCCCCACCTTAGAAAGGCAGAGGGCCCCTGGTTGCACTCTTACACATGTATTTATATTCTCTGGTTACATGAGATTTTTGCATGCACAAAGCTTTAGCGGAAAATTACTAGTACTGCATAACTCTTCTTTCACCTGCAGCGTAAGCTCCAATCAAAATAAAGTTTTAAAAAGTTTTACCAAATAAGGCACAGGTCTGCTGTTAAGCTTGTCTATCATGCTTAGTTACTATGGGGGAAGTTGTGGTCACCTGAAGGTACAGGCTGTGCTTCCCATATTGCTAAAGGAAACCCCTTTCTCTGCGCACAATTTCTAACATTATAAGTGATTATATGATGAAAAATATTAATGATAACATTAATTACAGCTTTCAAGTGTTTTTAATGCCATTCCTTAACTGTCCTTGCTTCCAGCAGGTTTTCTTTTTTGTCTTTTTTGCATGAAAGAGCACTGGAAAAATATTCAAGAAAGTGGAGAGTAACACTAGTGGCCTAATACTATGAATGCTTACTATGTACATAACAGTTGGGAAATCCCATTTAGTTCACAGTTTTTTTTAAAAGTCATATTTGAATAAAGTTTGTACATTTCTGCCAGCTCAGGCCCAACATTTGTATGTCATCTGTCTGACTGAGAAGAATAGATGTTAAGTTTCCTCCCCCCCCGCCCCAAACACCCACAGAAAAAGAGAAATGTTCTATTACCCAAACAGGCATCTTCCTGATTGTGCGAAAAGGCAGCAAAAGGCTGTAAATCTGCCTTCTCATTATAAAGGGCAACAATAGATTGATTTCTGGTGAAAAAAACAGCTGTTGGGCTTATATAATGAGTGTACATGAAAGTGCAAGTTAACTCAGAGTTTTACAGTAGCTAGATATTTAGATATTATTGCTAGCTTTTTTTTACAGGAATTTAGTGGTAGATTAATCACAGGGAAGAACACATTGCCAAGAAAAGCTGGAAAATTTCAGTTTAACCTGGATAACGTCATGATAATAAAGTTCTATGAAGGGCTGGGGAGATTTTTCTTTTTTTTTTTTTTAATGGGGTTTGAATGTCCAATTCTCTGTCCAGGTTATTGTGCTTCCTTTTGAGCCATTATTCTCTTCAGGCTAATTGGTTTTTAAACCTTTCTTTTAGTCATCTCTATCATGGATTTAGTTAGCATACACTTCCTTCCTTCATTTCTATCACATTTTAGGTGCCGAAACTACAAAGCTGCAGAATGTGGGAAGGTAGGTATATACCATGGTAACGGGGATGAGAACTCAATGAAAGCCTTATGGAGAAACACATATAAAATCTTAATAAGAATGAAATCAATGGAATTGTACAAGAATTCTTTTGAGTACTGAACAGGATTTAATAGAAAGTTGTATCCTTTCTAAAGACTTGTTTAAACAACATGTAGAAATCTGTTGTAGGCTTATAATTCTCTATTCAGTGGTATCAACTAGCTTTAATAATTCTATTGAAAGCATATCATTCTTTATTAATACCTATGGATGTAGAATAATTTTGCTTCTAGCATAATTAAATTCCTTTGGTTAAATCTATAAGGTGCATATATTTTCACTACAAAGGAAAAGTAGTGCTATGAGGAGAAACTACAATAGGAGCCAAAATGTATATTTATAATTGCATATAAGGTTTCTGTTAATATAAGAAAATGATAAATAAGATTCTGTAACTTGCTTCTATAGCTATCTAAGCTTTACTCAGATCCCTCTTGCTCACTAGAGTTTACGGTGTCATGATTTATTAGGAAAATGCCTTGGCTACAGTTAGACAAGCCCACATTATACTCTTAGGTCTCTTGCGTTATGAACTTGTGCTGTATAACTCTTCACACTGAGCCTTGGGTAGCTTACTGTATAATTAGTGGTTTTATCAAACCAAGCTTTCTATGACACCTGTAGTGAAGCATGTGTGTCTGTGTGTTGTATACATAGCTATTTGTATATTATTTGGCTCCTTGATACCATGGAGTGGTCAGTAATAATGATCTTTGCATTTTATTCTGTATAATGGTATTTTTTCATTGCAGAGAAGTGCATGAAACAAATTACTACATTTTTATGAAGTTTGGAGCAAATGTATTTACTACTATTTTTTTTTGTTTTTTGTTTCTTGTTCTTTTAAGTCTGAACAACCTAGCCCAGCCAGTTCAAGCTCAAGTTCCAGCTCCAGTTTTACACCATCGCAGAACAGCAGACAACAAGGTACCAAAAAAGGAAAAGAAATTGTGAAAAATGTGAAATGAAGGGGCCAACAAACAACGTAATTAGATGGCATCTCATTACCACTTTTCTGCTGTCTCTTATGGTCTTAAGTAATGTATTAGCCTCTGTTCTGCTTTATCTGCTTTCCCCTAGGCATATGTAAATATGAAAGATGAAAGATAAATGTTTATGCTCATTGGGAAGAGGGACAAGATAGCTGTTTGATTCTGTTATATATTATCAAAAGTGTGCTACTTACTTCATAGCTGCTAGCCCTTAAGAAGCTTGCCTTTTTAGGGTTCTAATCTGCAGAAGAATGAGTAACCATAGATTTTTACTCCTGCCTGGAGCCCCACTCAGCTAACATCCAGTCAGGATCCCTTTGAAGGACCGTTGTCTGATGGTCCAGTTCTGTGACTTGCTGAATGTTTCTTCCCACTCCTTTCCCATTTTAATGAATGTGTCAAGAGTTGGAAGGTTGGAAGGCACTTGGCTAACCTCCTGGCTTTGGCTCCATATTCTAGAAGTTGAAAAGCAACAATATTGACTTTTCATAATAATCTGACATGAAAAGGAGAGATAATTATTAGACTTTACATATCGGTATTGGTTTACTGGCTAATAATTTTTGGCTTCCTCGGAACTAAGTAAACAAATGTGAGTTGCTGCCAAAAGCCCCTGCCAAAGCAGTTCATGTGTAAATAAACTGAGATTTATTCTCTTAGAGCTATTAAACTACTCAGTTCCAGTTTGGCTTTTTTCCTCTTGATTTCATCAGATTGTACAACTAAGATTGTTCTTAATCAGGTTTTAAACACCCCCCCCCCCCCAAAAAAAAAACAGGAAGCAATACAAGGAGAATGGCTTTTGATTAATTAAAAGTGTTTTTTTTTTCATTTTATCCATGCATATACCTCAAATGTATATTTTTGCTTTTAATATAATTATTATAAATTAGATCTCTTTTTAAAATCAAATCTTCTGTCTGAGGTACTAAACAGAGCACATATATCTATCAAACTGTCTTTAGAAAGCTGACCATTACTGTTTTAGATATGTATTCTGACAGCATTATTTCCAATGTGTTACATCTATAGGTGCAGACAGAAGTGATGATATTGGCCCAATCAGGTCCCTGAACACTGTCTATAGCTGTGACCAAACAGAAGTGCATAGCTACAAAGGTCTTTCAAAGGGCCCAATCTTGTGGGAATCTGAATGCTGATTTCATGAGGGTTCAGATGAAGACATTTCAAAACATAGTGTCTTCAGTAACTTGTCTGCCTGTCTCCCTGCCTTGAAGCTGTTTTCAGAATGGAAGGGAGGAATGGAGTGGAGGGAGTTCAGTCTGGGGTTTTTCAGCCAGCACTGGAGGGTGGGGTGGGTGGACTGGAGTCCACCTACCTAACCCTCCAGCCCTGGGTGGGGAACCCCTAGAATTAGCTCCCTTTGCCCCTTCCCATTCTGAAAACAGCACCTGGGCTGGGAGGGAGGAGAGACCGTTGCTAGGGGAAACTGGCTATGAGTTAACTTTGGTTTGGTGTGGGAGATTGTTGTAACTCAGAATGCTTCCTACAAAGCATTATGAGTTACATCAGGGGAACTGCTCTTTTGTCTGTGCCCTGATTTAGTCCGAGACAGCAAAAATGAAAATAGATTGCTGTTGCATTACTGGATTCAGACATTTGGTTTGTAATTAAGGCTGTGCAAGACCTTTCATATTGCACCACTATTCATGAAAAGCTACCTGATAATATGGGCTGCCCTATAACCTGAGCAGCTGGTATAGATTTCTTTCTCCCTCCCTGTTCCTTCCCACAGTTTCTTCTAATAATTTTATTGGGGTGCCAAGTTGGCCCATTCCTTCCTGAACTTAACATGGGCTCAGAAACAAACACGCTTCCAGTTCTTAGCCTTTTGCAGAATAGGTCTTGGGCCTCTCTTCCTACACTTCTACCACCAGCATCTTCAAGGAGTGGGTGGTCTGCCTGCCTCTATTCCTACAGCAGTAAATGCCAGTAAAAAATCTTTTGTTCTGAGAATTCCCTGTTAAAGAAATGTATCATCCTGTCTGTGTCTTCATAAACACACACATGTATCTACTAGGGATGGAAGACAGAAAATATTGTATGGCAGGAGATCTTCTGCCTCTGGAGATACCAAAGGTGGATATATGTCTCTGTCTGGCCTAGAAGGCTTTCTTCATGATGAAGAGGAGCAAGCCAGCTGGCTGCTCTTTGAAGGGTTAAAGATAATGCCATCTGATTGCTTCTAGAGACACCAGGAAGAGTAGAGATAAAAAAGGTCTTGTGTTGCACACATTATGCACACACTAAAAGGTAACAGCACTTAAGTCTATCAAGAGGTAGCTTTGCAATTGCTAGGGAAGCAGGTTGTTTGCAGAAGATGAGCAGAACACTCTGGTTTCAGTTTCTCTTTCC